CTAATTTCCCTTATATCTCAAGATTTTCGACCAATCATCTCCTTGAAATTCGTTCATGTGAACGGATGAAAAGGGGAATAAAAGAGGGGTAGATAGTTCCCATCTGGGTGAGATTTTTAACGGATAAGGGAAAAACAGAAGATGTACAGACTTCCCTTAAAGGAAGTAACATCTGTTATCTATCTTTTCCCACGTCCAAAACACTAGTTTTTCACAAAAATGAAGTAATATTTTGTGTCGATATTTTAACATTACTAATAAAAATTATTAAATTAGACCCAGGGCCTTTAGGTTTTCACACCTGGTTCCGATTCTATTTCTGAACGTCTCCTGTTCACGTCCAGTCAAACGAACTATTTTCAACGTTTCTGGAACGTTTACAATCGTTCTATAATCGAACCAATATTCGAATTTTATGTTCGAATTAAATTCGAACAAATTCGAACATAACATTCAAAATAGAAAACCACTTTCAACCACTTTCAGCCCCATATCTCCCGCACCCTTATAGCTATCGAGACGCAACCCCCATAGTGCACGAATGGATACTTGGGGCTTCTACCACATACAAACACCCAGAGCCGTAACTAAGCAGGTGCAACAGGTGCTCCCGCAGAGGGCCCACTTGGAAGAGGGCCCAAACTGCCGATCAAAAAAATTATATTTTTAAATTTAAAATTTTTCCGCCTTTCCACAGCGCAGTTTGGCGATTACATTTTGCCTTACTTAGATCCCAGATGTCTGCTCACCAGTGTTCCCAACTGATGCGACTTTTAGAGGGACGTAGTGAGGTAGCGGAGACCTCAGAAAAATCAGCCAAAAGTAGCGACTTTTGAGATTTTTTAATTTATTTTTTGAGAAATTTAAATTTATGTTTATAGTTTTTAAATTTACAGATTTTTTTCTACTTTATAGAGCTCTCTGGCAACTAGTAATATTATTACGATATANATCAGCAGCAGCTATGCATTGTAATCAATTTAATTGTAACATGTTTGTATTAGAGAACTCATTAAATATAATTAAAATTATTGCAGAGATAATATAGTAATCAGTTGATATCTTATAGAATAGATGACTTATACTCATTTGTGTGTATGTGCAAATACTAGTGTTGGAGTATAATGGTACTTGCTTTACAGTATAATTGAAATATTTATAAAATTTATGATGTGTAGAGGTATTGCATTATGTTATAATTTTAAAATTGATTACATTCAGTTGTCATACCTAATATGTTTATCATAGTCGAGTAGCAATTTCAATTGGCTCCATTATATTGTTGGCATTTAAGAAATACATTATCTAAAGTATTTACCGTATCATATTTTGAATGTTTTAAATTAGTCGAAAATATTTCTCTTAGTAAGTAATTCACGTTTACATGTATTTTCAGTATTTGCCAGTATATTGTGTTCGTCACATTAGGCTAAAGAGGTGATTGAATTGTGGTGTCTGACGTAATACATACCGCAATACCGTATTATGAAATTTAAGGAATTATTTTGTTAATAACATAATTAACAACACTACAATTTAAAAGCCTTGTCATTGATATATGACAAATCTTAAATATTTAAGCAAAAAAGTGAGCGTAAAGACAAAATACTTCAAACGAGGAAAACTTTCATATAGTAAAAAAGTTCACAACGACAGTTGCATAACATTCTTGGCTGTGATGAGTTTTTCTTTAAAAATAAAGTTTTATATTATTAAGCAAAATAAATAAATCATGTGTGACACCATCTGTTATGAAATTTTCTTCTAAAATACTTTTTATACTTTGAATTATTATAAAATGCCAAAATCTTAACTTTAAGGGTAGGAGTGCGTTTTATAAAACGTCGTTAACACTTTATAAAATGTTAATAACGAATAAAATCTTCATTATATTCTATTCCTCTCGAGATATATAATCCCATCTATCTCCCAACCCTGTCGACCTGTAATCATCAAAATTTAATAGTATCAATGCGTCTCAAGTACAAATCACCATGCTAAATTTCGTTATTTAATCTTTACTGATCCTGAGATTTTAAGTGAAATAGATGTCAACACATACACACATAAAAACGGGTTCACAGAATTTATCCCCGTTGTTTTACTTTTATTTGGAATAAAACAACCTCAAAATGTGGAAATTTGCAAAAAGCAGAGAGGGCCAAATTTGTCAAAATTCCAATTCTTTCTCTTATTGTGTATATAAAACAATCGGAAAAGTAAAACGTAAGCAAACGAATGCGCAATACCCGACATTCGAAATAAAGTAAAATTCTTGTCAAGTGTTTTTTTAATACTGTCATCTTTTTCCATTTCTCGAGATGTTAACTGTATATAAATAGAGTTGCCTTATAGCCCTGAATTTTAATTTATCATTGATTGTCTACTTGGACACAACTTATTATTAGGGCCTTATACAGGAAAAATTACTTCAGGTGATATAATAAACAAATTTTGTTTTTCTGATTAAGGTCTTATCTTTGTGTCAATATCCTAAAAAACACCAGTATAAGGTCCTAATAATAAGTTGTGTCCAAGTAGACAATCAATGATAAATTGACCATATACAACTTAAACTATAGACGCTAACACATATTATAAACAACGTTTATTATATAAGATAAGGAAGATGTAGGTCAAAGGTAAGAATGGGCTGCTTATGCAGTGAGAAGTCTCTTTAATTCAGTTTAATTTAACCTCAATGATCTAACGTGAACATATGAGCCGCATATCAAGAACAACAAGAGAAACAGGAGATTTTATTGGATTTTATAACGAAATTATTAAGAGCATAAGATTAAAACACATAAAAACACATATAAGCATAAGATTAAAACACATAAAGTGGAGAGAAAATGTCGATCTATGTAGATTTTCGATATTCTATGTTGTATGATCTAGAAATATTTTTAAAAACTTTTTACAAGGTTATAGCATCACTAATACTAATGTATTAATTAACAGATTATTAAAATAAAGGTAAACCAATCGCATAGTATGATCAGATTGAATATTAAATCAATGTAACCTTCTATTAAACTTAATATGATAAAAGAAACAATAAACAAGTATCAAATTTTTGAATATATAAAGCTTCTAATCGAATTTACAATTATAAGTAATTTTTGTTTTGTGTGTGTTTCAAATGCCTTTTACAGCAGAGTAGATTGAATTTCGATGGAATCGGTTTTGAGACCCAAACGAGTAGAAATGTATATGGTTAAAACTGATTGTAAAATTGCGAGTGTTTTTAAATTAGCAATTTTATCATCAGTCTTGGATATATACAAATTTAATATATACAAAAAGTGGGAAATTTAATGCCCGATAAGGTGAGAATATTTTCTCATTTTAAGATACAGTATAAATATAATTTCAGCAGAAAAAAATAAGTGAATATGCTAACATGCTATATAAATACATTAATTTTAATGTAGAATGTGAAAAACAAATTAACTAATTATTTACGCATAATAATTACATTATTAGATGAAAATATCAATTCTATAAGTATTAAAAGTTATGTGATGTATTTCAAAGGCATTCGTGATTATGGATCAATTTTATTAATCCCGATTCTAACTTGGTGTTCAATTTGCCATCATTTATAGTCACTATGGTATAAACATGACATTTGTTCATTGACTGAGTCCTTCAAAGGACAATAGAGCAGCAAACTTTTCGTTCATTGCTGTTGAAATTACATGCGCAGATAAAAATTGCGAAGTATGATTGCCGTTTAAGAAGCTACAAAAGCAAAAACAAATATGGAATCCTTTGAATTCTTTATGTAGGTGGCATGTTATAATGGTGTAGGATGTACTAAAGAAGACGATACATCTCGCTTAATGGCGAAGAAAAAATAAACTGTTGGATCATTTGCGGCTTGCCTCGTAATTCGATATAGACTATATCAGTAGTCTTTTCGGACTTTCTAGAGAGCCTTTACGGCGTTTATGGATGCCCTGTTATACCCACTTCTTTCAACACTTTGCCACTGTTGTATCTGTATGTTCAAAGTGTCTTGGTTATTCATTGTAACAGCAACTACTTTCCCTCAGTCCAACGAAGTGTCTCTCAAAGTTGTTTAATGGTGGTAAGAGGCTCGAATACCAATTCGTGGCATTATCACTAATAATTGCGATCAACGAACACATATATGCACGGCCACATTGTCGAGGAGAATGTCTGAAGGCCATTATATAAATCATATTTTGGAAAACCCAAATTCTAAGACAAGTTAAAAAGTATTCTGCAACTTTTATATCAAAACGTGTATTTATGACATGGCTTTAATGTCAGAACATATTTAAATATATTTTAAATTTATGTATAAAAACGGTACTGTAAATTACAGTCGATAAGAAACGATTCGAAAAGCATTTTGTATATTGTAATGGAAAGTGTTTTTAATTGTTAATAAAGGTATATTTTTTTAAAAAAATGTTTGTGTTATATCATTTTTCAATAAGGATGTTTTCTTTATTCTTACTTGAACAATAGCATGAATGTAGATAGAAGATTGCGTGATTTATGCTTGGGTTGACATGTTAAATATACTGAAAAAATAAATTCGTATATAAAGTAGGATTAAGTATTTTTTTTAATACATTAATATTCGATAGTTGTATTCTTCAGAAGAGCGAATAGTGCGTAACTTTTCGAAATAAAGTTAATAAATAAATAGTTAAAGTAAGAGTAGATTTGAAACAGTTAAAAATTATAATGTCCCGAAATTCTATAAAAACATTTATATAAAAAAACCTTAATTAAATTACTTCCTTACTGCAGTATAAGAATAGGAATATCCTATTAATTTCACTTATTCTGATGTATTTTAGATGCTAGAATCTGTTATAATGACGGTTCTAAAACCAGGCGTAAATATGCAAATTAGCATTATTATTATTATTTTTATTACAAAGCAAATCCAAACACAACATTTAAACCATTAAAATTAACAACGAATTATAGAAATTATTATTTTGCGAATTACGTACCTTTTCTGGATTTTTTATTCACTTTTTTAAGAGATCGTCTTTGTTTGTCGTCTTAAATTTAATTAAAAGCTTGATAATTCTAATTAAATCAAATTACGATTCGTAAATATTGCAGAGTAAAGTGAAATTATGACCACTATAAAATATTTCTAGTATTTCGCAGAGTACTGAACATTCGATTAAATCAAAATCAACGATGCAAAGCTGAAACTTAAATATTATTATTGTAATTCTGACCAATCGAAAAACAATAAAAATTTCAGAGAAATCAGCTTTCTATCAGGAAAAGTAATTCTTTACAAGTTTCCGCTTAGACTAAACAAAAAATAAAATTTTTAGGTAATGAAAAAATTTATGACTTTTTAAAATATTTTTTCAATAATTTTTTTATAAATGTATAAGGTCCTACTTTCCATTTCTCTAGACATACCCGAATTATGTAAAATCGGATAGAGAGCGAAATTATCCAATCTCAAATTTATCTCGTCGAACTCGACGGATGATGTATCATTTCGAAAGGAAGTGTTAACGAAATATAAAATCTCGNCTACTACCACATACAAACACCATTCGCGTGCGATGTGTAATTTTGGCGGAAAATTTAAATATAGGGACATACACGTCCATATATCTATATCTATATATATAGATATAGATATATATCCATTTTTATATATATACTAGCTGCAAGGACCCGCTTCGCTGGGTTTTTAAAAAGTAACGATAGTGAAGATTAAGATTATTACATAGACAATCTTACCCGTTTTCACAGAATGCAAGAATTAGGTCCCCCATTTCCAGACTAATTAGAAAATTTTTACGTCCAGTCAAACAAACTATTTTCAATTTGATTGATTTTCTGGAACGTTTACAATTGTTCTATAATCGAACAAATTCGAACAAAACATTCGAAATAGAAAGCCACTTTCAACCACTTTCAGCCTCATATCTCCCACACCCTTATAGCTATCGAGACGCAACCTCCCTGGTGCACGATTGGAGACTTGGGGCTACTACCACATACAAACACCATTCATGTGCGACGTGTAGTTTTGGCGGGAAAAGTGAAATATAGGGACACACACGTCCATTTATATATATATATATATAGATATAGATATAGATATAGATTAGTTTATTTAAGTCGGGGGGTCGGAAATCGCAATAAAAATTTTAATTTTTTAAAAATATTTAAAAATAAACAGAGCAGTCTAGCTAGTATTCACCTTACTTTAAACCATTCTCCTCCCGAGACGTCTATGAGAATGTCCCGGGAAATACGACTCCAGCTGTTTTCAAGGTCATCCAGTTATGATAACAATGACTCATCGGTGTCAAATTTCGTAGAAAGGCGAGACAAAGGAAGTCAAACTTTGAAGCTTTTTCTTCAAAATTAACGCATTTCTTTCGTTATTTTTTCAGTTTTAAGTATTTATTATGCTTAATTAAAAATTCTAAAAAAATAGGCGACGTAAAAGGGGTTAATATCTCTAGTTGAAGCGCATTATCCGAATATTAAAATACGGCTTAGACAAGGAGAAATCTGGAACCAAATTTTTCTTCTGTTAAGTCAATGGGGAAATTTTGCTGTTCTTTAATTAAGCTCATTTTCTTGCTTAAATATTTAGGATCAATGATAAAGCTTTTAGATTCTTAAAGATGTTAGAATAAAAGAAAATATTCAAGAAACAAATGAAATAAACCAAATAAAATTAACGTATATCGGCTAAATATAAAAGTGCTATTAAGCGAGCAAATAAGTTTTTTGATGATAAATTATAATTAATTAAAGCTGATAAAACGAATCAAATTATAATGGTTATTGAAAATTATATTTCGATAGTAGACGAGACATTATATAATAATATTTATGAAAAAAACTTAATAATATTCCGTTACAAAAGCTAAATAATGAGGTTAAGTACAAAATAAAGAAGTTATACTTAATCGGGGCCTGGTTTCCCTAAGATTTTCATACCTGGTTTTCACTTTCATCTCTCTAACCGGGTTCTCGAGATTAAGAAAGGACAGACTGATGACTGGAAATTCATTGGCCAGAAATTTGAAAACTGCAGCCCAGTAATAAAACTGATATATTTAAACGGGATAAAGTAAAATATATAAAATTAACTGTTCATGTTTGAATACTTGTGTAGGTGAAATTGAGAGATAATTAAATGTTAGGTTTAATGAGTATATTTATGCAGTCAGAAATAATTTACAGTCATCATCAGCAGCTATGCACTGTAATCAATTTAATTGTAACACCTTTGTATTAGAGAACTCATTAAAGATAATTAAACTTATTCCAGAGATAATATAGTAGCCTAATCAGTAGATATCTTATAGAATAGATGACTTATACTCATTTGTGTGTATGTGCAAATACTAGTGTTGGAGTATAATAGTACTTGCTTTACAGTATCGTTGAAATATTCATAAAATTTATGATATGTAGCAGTGGCGTGCCGTCATTAGAAGCGGTGGAAGCGCCGCTTTCCTTGTATTTTATAAAAAGTAATACATATTAATTTTAATTATATGAAAATAATCGCACTATATTTTATTATAACCGTGTTATGTATCTTATTACAAATTTCTATACTACACGTGAAAAAAAAATAAGATNGACGTCTATGAGAATGTCCCGGGAAATACGACTCCAGCTGTTTTCAAGGTCATCCAGTTATGATAACAATGACTCATCGGTGTCAAATTTCGTAGAAAGGCGAGACAAAGGAAGTCAAACTTTGAAGCTTTTTCTTCAAAATTAACGCATTTCTTTCGTTATTTTTTCAGTTTTAAGTATTTATTATGCTTAATTAAAAATTCTAAAAAAATAGGCGACGTAAAAGGGGTTAATATCTCTAGTTGAAGCGCATTATCCGAATATTAAAATACGGCTTAGACAAGGAGAAATCTGGAACCAAATTTTTCTTCTGTTAAGTCAATGGGGAAATTTTGCTGTTCTTTAATTAAGCTCATTTTCTTGCTTAAATATTTAGGATCAATGATAAAGCTTTTAGATTCTTAAAGATGTTAGAATAAAAGAAAATATTCAAGAAACAAATGAAATAAACCAAATAAAATTAACGTATATCGGCTAAATATAAAAGTGCTATTAAGCGAGCAAATAAGTTTTTTGATGATAAATTATAATTAATTAAAGCTGATAAAACGAATCAAATTATAATGGTTATTGAAAATTATATTTCGATAGTAGACGAGACATTATATAATAATATTTATGAAAAAAACTTAATAATACCCCGTTACAAAAGCTAAATACTAAGGTTAAGTATAAAATTAAGAAGTTATACTTAATCGGGGCCTGGTTTCCCTAAGATTTTCATACCTGGTTTTCACTTTCATCTCTCTAACCGGGTTCTCGAGATTAAGAAAGGACAGACTGATGACTGGAAATTCATTGGCCAGAAATTTGAAAACTGCAGCCCAGTAATAAAACTGATATATTTAAACGGGATAAAGTAAAATATATAAAATTAACTGTTCATGTTTGAATACTTGTGTAGGTGAAATTGAGAGATAATTAAATGTTAGGTTTAATGAGTATATTTATGCAGTCAGAAATAATTTACAGTCATCATCAGCAGCTATGCACTGTAATCAATTTAATTGTAACACCTTTGTATTAGAGAACTCATTAAAGATAATTAAACTTATTCCAGAGATAATATAGTAGCCTAATCAGTAGATATCTTATAGAATAGATGACTTATACTCATTTGTGTGTATGTGCAAATACTAGTGTTGGAGTATAATAGTACTTGCTTTACAGTATCGTTGAAATATTCATAAAATTTATGATATGTAGCAGTGGCGTGCCGTCATTAGAAGCGGTGGAAGCGCCGCTTTCCTTGTATTTTATAAAAAGTAATACATATTAATTTTAATTATATGAAAATAATCGCACTATATTTTATTATAACCGTGTTATGTATCTTATTACAAATTTCTATACTACACGTGAAAAAAAAATAAGATCGCTATTGTACATTCGAATACTGTATTAGTGGCGGAGTGGAATCTCTATATTGTGAAATTCCAAAAAGCCAGATTTGCGCACGCGCTTTACAGAGCACCAACCTCACCCGGTTTAGCCGGTGGAAACCTACGACCTCGGGTTGATGCTACACATTATCCGTACGTTTCTATATTCAACAGTTGACTCAACGGTGAGAGAACAACGTTTCTAAATGGACCGTTGAGTTCTCCGTTGAGACTAGTGACGTCAGCGCTGTTTCACCGTTGAGCTCAACGGTCTCAACGACCTGAAAGACCGTTGAGTAGTCAACAAACTAACATGGCGGCTTCCACGAAAAAGTAAATTTCGCTTATAGAAACTATCCATTCGCTGCTGTGGATGCTGTAATAGCGNAAAATATGTACAATTGAAGTTTTAATTTTAATTCGGTTAATTATAATTTGAATCGGGTTTATGTATAAATAATATATTTTGTGCTATTTATGTAAAGGAAAGACCCGAAGCGAGGCAACAAACGGACAAAAATCGAGAATAAACAAAATCGTGCCCCGCCACACACACATACAAACACTAATATCCATAGATACAGAAAAACTCTAGAATTGCCTTTCTCGACGTATATGATTTTAGTTAAGTTCGCGAGATATTTCGAATGTTTTTGGATAAAACTATCGAACACCGATAATCGGTCGTGGGTTCGCACCTTACAATCGAATTGGCGACATGGAGTTTTCCAGGTTTTCCTCACATTTGTAACACCTAAATAGGGATCAGTTACCAATAAAAGTATTTTCGGGAGACAACTCCCCTCTTAGCAGATTACACATATGCTGTGCCTTATCCTATTAATCCTACAATCCATATTTCGAATGTTTTATAAGTTTTATAATTTATTTATTATTGGTATTAAAATGGGAAAATGGACAAAGTATTCTCGGTCCTTGTGTATTTTTTGGTTCTGAACGTTGCTTTCCATCTGAAATAGTCTTTATCAATCTCATTAATGCCTACGAGCCCTCTTTCAATTTCTGTTATTGTGCCTCGCCAGTTTCTAGTGTTGTTCGGAGCATAATTAGGTCCGTTTTCAAGGATTCGTTTGATATCTTGCGGGAGTTGGATTTGGTCTCATATTATATATGGGGTTGGCTTCGTTTGCTTTTCCTAATATTTTTTATTGTTTGTTTTTCCTAATGTTTGCTTTTTTTATAAT